ACGAGTTCTGGTGTAACAATAAAGAGATTAGTCTTAAAGCCGCGAAGAGAGGTGGCCAGGATTTTTCTAATGCAAAAATGTTCCAAAAGCCAGGATTCATGAGTGAAGGAAGAAGAAGCGTTGGATTGCTGGTAGCTAGTCGGGTGTTTCCAGGCCGCACTGATGATGTCTCCCGCATAGGAGACGAAACGCCTGATAAATTGTTAAAATTGTTAGTATTGTTATGCAAAGTCGGAGGTATGTGTTTTTAAGGATTTTTCTATCTTCGCACTGGCAACGGTGTGTAATTTATTCTTTGCCGCAAGGATTTGGTACCTGTTACAGGTTCTGCACTGCTCTTGTGTGCGTTTGCGGAGCATGCACCGTGTGATGGCCGTGTACACCTGGAAATCTACGTGGGAAAGAACTAGACGAGGTAACCTTTTTCGCTGAGTGAAGTCGGGTGGTCTTAGTTCGTCGAGTTTGTTCATACGACAACTGGTTTCGCGAGACCAGGCTGAACCTTTTTCTGAGAACTGTAATCCAAGTAAGGTTGTTCAGAGAGCTCATTGTTTGTTCACAGTTCATTCTTTTGACGTGTCACACATGTGAAGGAAAATTAACGGGCTTCCTCGGAGAGGTTGTTTCCGCATACCAATTTCTTAGTGTGCGACTTTCAAGAGAGTACTTCAACTCTGTCATACGAAAGCGTCTGACGCGAGATCTTGTTGAATGCGTGTTTCCCGGCCCGCGGTATCGCTGTTGAATGCCTGTTTCCCGTGATGTGGTTTCCCGCGTGAAACGAATGCTAGTTCCCGGATCTGTGAAAACCTTTTATTTGAAACTGCAGATCAACCCGCTCAAGTAAAGACATGATTAGCGAAAAGGGGCATGTTTGTACCATGAGGCGAGGGTTGTTTTTCGTGCAAGAGACCGGGAGACTGTGGAGCACGTGTTCCTGGACTGCTGGGATGCTATCCTATTCTGGGATGTGCTCCAACGCCACCGTCACAAAAGACATACCACTCATGGCTCGTGGAATACGTTTTTGTCAGTAGTGGGGACGCCTTTCCCATATGACCTCGTATTTTTACTGGGCCTGCATGCTATTTGGGGATGTAGGATTGCAGTTCGTCATGCGAATCTGAATGCCCGTTCAGTACGGTATTATTCAATTGAAAATGCGAATTTGATAGAAGCTGTGTACCAGAAAATATGTCTGGAACTGAAGTGGTTGCCAGCCTTTTTGAAGCTGTCGATGATCAGAGAGTTTTAACAATTCTCACCGTCTCGCAAAACCAAGCAGGCGGCGTTTTACCGTCATCTTCACTAACGTCGTCTTTGCTCAATATATTATTTTACATGCTCAGGTGAAATGTATCGTGCATGGATCTTTGTTCACTGTCAAAATATACCAATAAAAAATAAACGAAAGCTGTGGCGCAGCTCAGTGGTAACGCCTTTGCTTGGCAAGCAGCCGCCCCAAGTTCGATTCCGGGTGGTGGCGGGTGATCTTTTTCGAGGATTGGGCAACATGGACGACGGAGGCCCTCCATTGCCAAGTATAACATCGATTACTACAACTACTACATCAACTACAACGTCAACAACGGATGTCAGTTTCAGTGATGGGAAGAGCCCATAACAGCTATCGCTGTAAAACAAAGATTACAGGCGCGTCCATTCGACCAAACGCGATGAAATGCAGTAGCTTTACGGGAACGTCGTAAGTGAAACCAATTGGGAAAGGAAATGGTATGGCGATGAAATGGTTGTAATATGCCCTGCACACATCGAAGACGACGTAGAGGACGGCGTCTACGACGTCGCTAGGACGACGTCGAGGACGATCTCAAGAACAACGTCAAGGACTACTTCAGGGACGGCGTTGAGGACGGCGTTGAAGACGGCGTTGAGGACGGCGTTGAGGACGGCGTTGAGGATGACGTCCTAGAGGAAGACATCTAGAAAGCCCTCTAGGACGACGTCAAGGATGTTAGGTCACGTCAGACCCAGCTTCGAGCTTACGCGGCCGGAGATTACGCGAACGAAGCTTACGCAACCGGCGCTTACGTGACCTTGATTACGCGACCTTGAGTACATGACCATGATGACATGACCTTGAGGACGATGACATGACCTTGAGCGTAGTTGGGTCCATAAGGCTACCACTTTAAAACACCACAAAGAAACATTGCAACATAAACACACAGAGGGCGATGTAGCACGAACAGGCGAGCACCCAGTTTTTCTCAATAAACTGTCATGGCTTAAAAACGCTAATGAATGGTGATATTGTCGTTAAATACGCTTATATGGGGCAATATTCAACTCGGGTGATTTTGTATTTGTTCGCAACATGAGATAAATAACCTAACCCATATGTGGCTCCAATTCCGAGGAGGTGTCATGCCATCTCGGTTCTCGGTTTTATATAAGCGCGTAAAAAAGCAAACGATTCTCAGATTTCAAACTAACTGTGCCACGAAATGTGCGATCTATGTGTCTTTGTGTAATCCATTTGTGCCTTTTAGAGACGTTTACCGATTGTGTTAACAGGACTGAATGCTGCGACTTTTAATCCTTGATAGTGTATGCCTTGAATCGTGAATTCTCACGTTGCTTTTTATATGTAGTGAAGCCCTAGCGTGCATTTATCCGTCGATCCAGATGCGATGGTCTCATGTGTACAATTTTGTTTATTAATGATACATTCTCGAAAGTCTTGAAGTGGCGGTGTCGGAACAGTGACCGTTGGGCCGAGCCCAAGGCGAACGCGCTGCCGGGCGACGGAGGTTCGCCGGACGTTCGCTCCAGGGAGTCCAGCCTTCAACACATCACTATTCAACTCGAATCACGGTTTGCACAACTCCAGTTTTAAGACGACCATGGGAACCAAGGCAGGAACACGAAAACCCCCCCCCCCCCCCCCCCCCAAAAAAAAAAAAAAAACACCCGGTGACAAAGCCAACCCGAATACAACACGACAGCAAACCGAGGATTGTGCACACACAAACAAACCTAACCTCCGCGGTCCACACCCTCTTTTTACAAGCAAGGTGCCCTCACACGGGGTATCGTGATACACGCCAAAATATGTGCACGTAAGCAAAAAAAAAACAAAAAAAAAAAGATGAACGAAGCCAGTCTGCGATTTAGGAGAAGGAAAACGCGATCGCGATACGAGGAGCCAATCCCTGTCGAACGTTTTCGCCCTAGCGCGAACGCCTTTCGGCGATTCGTCACGGTGGAGCGAATTTCCGATGCTGCCTTCGCCCTTCTTTCCCCGTCTCTTTCCATGTCAAGCGTTCGAGAAGACGCCGTTATACCGCGTTTCTTCGACGGAGATCTTTCCTTCAAAAATTCGGCCATTCCCCTGAGCTGGGTTTTTGGGAAGACCGGCTAAAGCCCAGGTCCAGCGCTGTAGCGAGAAAGAGGAAGAGGAGGGAAAATAAAGAAAGGGAACTGAAAAAAAGGGGGGGGGGGGTCGGTTTGAAGCGCTTCATCTTTGGACACTTTTTCCGAGCGAGGCAGTTGAGAAAACGTTTTTTCTCGACAGAGTTACCGAGACACAGTAAGAGCCGTGCGCGCCCGTGCGAGCAAGCTGCCACGAGATTTCTCTAGGAAGCAAAACTCAACGGAGAAGACGACCAGGGAGGCGAAAGGAAGGAAAGTAGGATATTTCGGGTCCTTTTTTGTTTTTCTTGTTTTCGACTGTGCTTTCCATTTTTCTTGTTTTCGAGTCGTTGGCTCTCCCAGATTGTCGTCGTCGCCGAAGACGTCCGTTCGACGTCGTTGGACGCTGTTGCTGCTATACTGTCGTCTCAGTCGCGTTCGCGAGAGAAAGGTCGGAAATGGGGGAGTGGGGTAGTTTTGTTGTTCCGTCTTCGATTTTGCACTTGGTAGAAAAGTCCCAGCCTGCGTTTTCCTCTTTGGATTCTTCCTGGGAGGCTTTAAATTGTTCGGAGGAGGGTGAGTCCGGAAAACGGGATGACGTTTGACAGCGGGACGCGGAAGAAAGCAGCTGCTATTTTGTTGCGTTTCCAGACTGTAAAAGTGAGGAACTTAAGGCGTCCTTCGGCGCTACAGTGACTACGAAGAGATGAAGTAGAGAAAATGAAAGAAGAATGCGTGGAAAGTTTTCAGTGTATGGAGCATTCACTAACGGCCATAGCTGAGCGCGTGGCTGCTGAGCACGTGCTGACGGCGAGCCTCCACAGTTCTATTGCAATGTGCATCCCGCGCCATGGAGGTCACCGGTCTTAGCAGCCTAGTAATGTGAGCTCGTTCTGAGCATGCGCTCTGAACATCGCACTGACATATGGCGTCCAGTGAAGACCCGCCCTTTACGTTAGAAAAGCTACTGAGTATACGAATGATGTCGACGACAAAGAGTTTAATTGAGCACGGTGTCGCGCAACACGAACCGTGCTTTGTCATGTAAAGCACCCTCAATAGGTGTACCCGATTATTTACGAGCGAGTGCGAGTAAGTGCATAAAGGCCATAAAATATGCAGTCAGTCTGAGCAAATCTCGGCATATGTAGTTCACATGTGGCAATTTCGTGAGATCCTGATATTTGTTAATTTTTCGTAAACACTGTTTCGCGATCTAGCAAAATATTACGGCAGGTGAAGATTCGTCCGATTCCATAGAGGTGAAAAGAAAATACTGGCGACAGAACACACTACGTTGCAATACAGAAAAATCATCAACCAATTTTAATGCGTCGAAAATGTTTTGCTTGTGTGGTGAATGAACAGACATAACATCAGGGCACCTCCCACTATTGGAGTGAAGGTAGTTTCAGCGTCTGCGGCTTTTGAATTGTGTGCTGCCTACTCACTGTAAAAGTAATGTAACTGAGCTAAAGCTTCCCCCTTTAAGAATAGCTATAGATTTGTTTGAAAGCGAGGCATTTTTATAGCTAGTCTCTCGTGTTTGTCGCTTTAATAAAGTTTCACGCCACGTCTGATGCTGAGCATTGAAAGAGACGAGTGAAAAAGAGTTCCACACTCACCATCTTGTTGTTGATCTCGTGGAAGTGAATCTCGCACACTTTGTCTACCACGTCCTCGTTCTCGAAGGTCACGAACCCGAAACCTGGAAGGAAGCAAACAGTAGAAGTTTAACTACACACCCTTGTTCGACACGACACGCTACACGTGGAGAACGGTTCCAATAGCTGCATCCAAACCAATTTCGTATCAAATCAATTCGCTCACAAGCATCTGCAAGTAAAATATACTCGCTGATTTCGATTCACAAAGGGTTCTTACGTCACAGTTCGTCCAAAAAGCACGTAGGTCCTGATAATAAAGTATCCTGAAAATTCTTATACAACAATGTTTAAAAAATGTAAGTCGAATAAGCATCGTAGAAATGCCGCTGCCTCATTTGCAAAAGGATGATTTAATACAAACTATCGACCTTCGTGCGCACATTTATTCGAATGCGGCCTTGAAGAGATAGCGCTGTCAGAATATGAATTTTAGCGTTCCATACCTTGTCATTTCATCATTAGCTGTGATTTGACTATACACTGGAATTCTCTATTCAAATTCAGGTATAGGAACCCACACAAAAGCACACAATTTTGTTTGGAAAGTATCGAGGGCACCCTTTCACAAATATATATGTCCAAAAAGGCACGCTTTAAAAATAGCTCTCTATCCTATTCGACTGACAAAATTTGGTCAGCTGTCGTTATTTGTTTTTTCTTTTCCTTTCAGTTCGTTTATATACATCATTAACCAGAATTATTCGAAGTTGAAGCGACATACCTATATATTTTGCAGAAAACAAAACGGCATACACTTCGTGCACAGCGAGGCAACGTTGACGATATGTCACGCCCCTTTGGTATCGGAGCTATATGTAAATTAAGCACTGCAATGTCCGACGAAAAGGAGCCTTTTTATGCCTTGTTTATGCCTTGTCATAAACAAGGCATAAACAACGCAATGCAGTACGTTGCGAGCCGTCAGTGAACGCTGCTCTCGCCCCCAAGGGCTCGGGCGATAACACTGACAACTAATCACTTGCGGCATTTTAACGGAGGCACCAACGTCAACCTAAATTAACGCGTTGATACACACGCTATAATCCAGCAACATCTAGATAGATATCATCACTCACGCTCGATAGAAATTTACGAGCCACACAAACACTAGGAAAATACGCCCCAACGAATACATATATTCGTAGCGTTCCGCAGGCACAAATAGATAAGCTAAAGTACCGCTTACCTAGCATTATTAAACTAATAAGTAATGTATGAAGCCACGTGAGCCGATCACGATCTGATCCGCTAGAGGTCGTCCTCTCGCGACAAAAGGCGGGGCTTAGAGAATGCTCGTCGGTGTACGATGATCGAGGGATACAACACTGCCAAATTTCACCACCGAGAACCTTCGCTTCTCCGACGTGCGCTTGTCAATGCTTCGTCGTTTCATTTCCAGTCTTGTGAGAATCAATAGTTCCGTATGTTACACACAGTATGTAAAATGCTGGCGGACGTTCATACAACAAGCCCTAAACATTGGAACGTTCCAGAAACGTCCGTGGAGGTTCAGGTTGTCTTAGGTAGAAAAATAATTTCCCTCACACGTTAAAATTTAGATTCGGACGGAGAACAGAGAACACGTCGAGGATGCACGTTACCATTTTGCCAAGTATGCAAATTGTCTGGAGAATAGCCTGCCATCGTTGTGCTCACAAAATGAACGCGCTTTTTATGTCGATGTAACGTAATAATTGCGTATTTATTTAATCGCCTTGGTATATATTCGTGCGTTATTTTTTTTACTTTTGCAACGGGAAAATTGTGCACGACGACACATCTTCGGCTCAACGCTGCATTTACCACTATAGTAACCGACAAGACGAAGACGGAAGGACATCTCTTTTCGGAGGGACGTTTCTTAAGCTGTCCACGACTACGTGAACTCCATCTCCGTTGCACTACGGTCAACACGCCGCCGATGGAGGCCGACGGGAACATCGGGGCTCACAGCATCCACGCGGAGAGCGAAGCTCGATATCTGCTCGGCGAGTTGGGGCGTTTTTCGCGCGCTGCGTCCTCCGGCAATTAGTCGTGGCCGCGGGCTGGCGCCCTCCGACCGAGCCGCCAAACAAAGCGACGACGGGACGCCGGTAATCCTGGCGGCACGCTTCGACACGTCCGCCTCTAATCCGATTGCCGGGGAACGGGGACAGCTGCAGCGCACGCCCTGATGTAGAGCGCCCGTGGTGCCTTCAACGACCAAGAGCTATCTCCGGCCCACTTTCGGCGTGTGCGCGCAGCTCTGTTTACGCCCGAGGTTGAGGCTTCGCGGTGCTCGGTCGAAGATGGACAGCTGTCAGGTTCTAATACGCCCCTTCAGGGATAAAGAGGAGTTTAAGGTACGTCGTTCGAGGGCATCGGTGTCAGGACGAGCGGACTTATAGAGAGGCTCACGTCGTAGTTGATGCGGATTCAGCGCAGCCGAACGCCGTTGCTGCTGGGAGCAACCACCTGTCCACTGATTCTTACAGACAGTTCACAGTCAGCGCCTTGTGTGTGTAAGCACTTTGTTCCCTATATGTTTCATCTTTTTGAACGCTGCTGTACCGTTTCTTTTTAAATTTTATTATTACCACCGATGCAGAAACTGCCCAGACACTAATTTGTAAACGTCTTATATTTCAAAAGAAAAAAAAAAGCTACTGTAAATGTTTAGAAAACAACACACCGTTCAGTAGACAAAAGTTGACAGCACGCAGAAGGCGATGAATGAAACAGTCTATAGACCTCAGCTCGTTCCAGATAAGGGTTTAGGATCAGAGTAACATTGACTAGCACTGCAATTTGTAAGCACGTTTTTCCGCATCAACAGGCTATGCGTCTTGACAAAGTCCGTGGCGTCGTCTTCAGGAGGTAAGGTTGGTCAACCAACTCGCCGCTGCGGATTGAATGGCTTCCATTTAAGAAATTCGCATGCCGTTATCTATTAGTGTTTTGTTGTTTCTTCTATTCTGAGCACTATGCGTGCCACCTAAAGTGTGCATTATGGGCTAGTGCTAGCAGTTATTGTGGCTTTCGTCATATTTAGGCAAAAGTAATCCATCATTGTGTGTTCTTTTTCGTGCTTCTTGAGCCCCGAGGATAGCAAGAGTGTCTGACCGCAATGATGAGTGTCGGCAATTGAGTACGATACTGAACATTTCAATACCAAATCTGCTTTTATGCTTTGTCTTTGTTGTTGACGAAGAAGGACGTTAAAAAGAAAATGAAGCCACCGAAACACATCACACGATGTGAACGTAGCTATTCTGACGATAATAATCCGCTTGTTCCCGTTCTTCAGGGATTATTATCGTCATTCTTGTCAAGCTCGCTTACAACTTTGCAATAATTGCATTAAAATTGTAGCTGTTCTCACTCGAAACGGCCCCAAGTAAAACCGACGCCCAGAGGCCTAACGCACGTCACCTCTACTGACAAAAGAATGGAACAGACTCCAACAGCACTCCTAGACACACCTACAACAGCAACAAAACCCCGGAAGCTCTGTGAGCTCCCGCGCTCAGAGGTTGCATTAAAAGAACTCTCCCCGCAGGGGGAAAACCGAATCGCTTTCAACATCGGAGTACCAGCCTACCTAAAGATAAACTTTGCGCTCAAAAGTGAACGAAACTGAGCACCAGGCCGGAACGCACACTGTGCCCCCCCCCCCCCTTCCTTCCCCCCTTTCCTCCTTGCTCTCCGCTCAAAGAACTAAAGTGAACGCGCAGAAACCGCCTGCCGCTAAGAGGGGACAGAGCAGGTTGCACGGGCAAACATTCCCTCCAGGCCGACGGAGGGCGCGCAACTCTACGCCCGAGCAGCGGCTACGGGGAGCACTTCATCCACTCGTTTGCATCCGTGGAACCCCAACCCCGGGGAAGGGCAGTCCGGCGCCCTACGGCTTCGACCCGAGCTCAGAGCGAGGGCAAACACGAGACAGCGCCGTCCACTGTTTGTGCACACCGCCCCGGCGCCGAGGAGCTGCCATCGCGATCTGGGCAAAGCGACCGAGATCAAAGTCCCCCGACGGACGAGTCCGGGGGAAGACGGGAAATTGGGGGGACGACGACGGAAAGAGCAAGAGACGGCCGAGACGGAGGGCCGGCCGCGAGCTGGGGTTTCAACGATGTCACGCTCGATCGAGGCTCCTGATTAAAGCCATCCGGGCCGTCCGGCCGGAAGTAACCGCTCGCGCAAGGAGCGGCTCCTTTTAAACCTGCGGGACGTCTCGTACGGGAGCTGCTCTTCGGAACGCTGGCGGAGCGTAAAGTGGGTGCCAGGGGAGGAACCGTGTTTCTGCCGGCTTGCTGCATGCCTGCGTGTGCTACCGCAAACAACTGTATCTCGGAGCGAAGCGGCGTGTGGTGGTGGTAGTGTTGCGAACAATGGCCTCTGGGCGCCGACAGCTGAAGAAATGAGGGGCGTGGGGTGTCCCGAGAAGCGTGTTACCACTCCGAAGTCAATGGGGGCAGAATTAGCAGATAAGGACGCCCGCCTAATCACAAAGCGAAAAGCGTGGATAAAATAAGTCGCGCCCTGAGTTTCTTAAACTGCGAGTGACTGTAGTAGAACGTTGGAAGGAAATTTAACGAAGTCGGGATGCTCTCTACACTCAAAAAGTCTAAAGCGTCTCCTTTTCCACGAATCCCTGGGAAGAGTCAACGGGTGCATTCTACGAAGGGAGTTCGGCGAACGACGAAGTTGAGAATATGTTTAAACCTTAAAGCAGTCAGCGCTGTGGCTCTGAAGAGAACGCTTCAGATTTCTTAGAGTGTGTAGGGACATCCTGAAAGAGATTTCTCCCAGTGGCAAGGGAGGATCCCTCGTTTTTCAAGTGTGCCCCTGGCAAAGCTGGAGCCAACGTAAGTGACCTCTGCGCTCTTCGGATTGCAGTTGCAAATTTGGTCACCGAAGGAACGGCTTTCGCGGTAACGCGTTATTTTTCTCCGTAACCTAGTAACGTAATCGGTACATTTTTCAAAACAGTAACGGGCAACGTACTTACGTTACTTATTTCGTGTAACGGGTAACTTAGTTGCGCAACTTGTTACGCCTT